TGACCAAACTAGACCCATAGGTAGGGACATCTCTACACCCCCACTGAGCAGGGTGAAGTTATAGAAGGTAAGACCTTCCACCCTCAGCAACTGTTAAGATTTAAGGGTCACAATTGCTCAGGGGGAAATGATGTGGAGAATGAACGCAAAAGAAAAATTAAATTTCCTTACAACCTACAAACCATTGGCAAGTCCTTAAGACAGGCAGAGTGACATTCCTCTAGGAACTCACTGCCCTGATGTTAATACTTTACTAAGGGCAAAAGGCAACGTTAGCTTAACATTAGCCCTACTTCCATGATCCTGTCAGTCTCCTTTAACATATGAAAATCCCCTAGGAAGCTTCCTTTAACTCTACCCCGCAAGATATATATTAACAATCATCCTCCAAGCCTATGGCTCACTGATATACACCTGAAGGGTCTCAGAACTAAGGTTTTACTAGACAGTAATAAATGACTTTTTCTAATAACAGCTAGTCCCTCAAGGTCCTTAAAACTTTGATACTAAATTCCTTAGAGACTTATGCTATCCCTAATTGCCTCTCAATTTGAAAATATATAACCAGCCACCCCTCACAATCCCAGTGCGGCTTGTTCTGCCCCTGGGTCCTGTCCCTGTGCTTTGATAAAACTACCCTCTTTGCTCTAAAGATGATTCAAAGTTCTTTCTTGACCATTAGCCTCCAGACCCCATTTCACATTATTCCTACCTGGAACTGTGCTGGCCTTCGGACCAACTCCTTTTGAAAACCAGCCTGTTCCTGTTGAAAGAGTAGTTTTTAGGAATTTCTCTTTTTGTTCTAAAGAAAAAGCTTAGAAATGGGATCCCAGCCATCAAAATGCTTTGTCCCCATTTTGTGGTGCCCTTGGTGTTAAGCTTAAAAACTATGGTCTCTCCTCACATGCATTTCTAACTAAATGGACTAACTTCACAAGAATTTAGACCATCAATGGTCCTTATGGGGAACTTTTGATGTCCCCAAATTGACTCTTATCAAAACTGAATTGAACAGCCATGGCTCTACAATTGTCAAAACCAGATAGGATGCCTACTTCAATGGGTATTTTGAAGCTTCCAAACACTATCAGGACTTAATGTTGCTTCTCTACCAAACACTACTTCTAAATTAACAGAGGCAAACCTTTGAAAGGTATCAAAATGGCTTCTGATACTCTTTGCCCCTCCCCCATCTTTGTCTCCAGAGAGTTGCAACCACCTAGTGTGCAGACCAGCCCTCCAGGGCCCTCTCCCTCTCTTCCCTCTGCCCTATCCCTGCCTCCTGTGTACCCCCCCCGTCCTTCTAATCCTTTCTCTGAAGGCCCCTTTTCCTCTGATTCTCTCCTCAGTCCTTCCTCTCCCAGAACCTGTTAAGACAGGCTCATTTGGGGATCCAAATAAACCTCAATTTCCTGCATTCCCTGGATTGCAGGAATGCAATTCCCTGCATTCAAGACTGAACTGTGAGCTGGAGTCAGCATTTCCCAACGTGACTGAGGATCCCTATAGGTGTGCTTAAGAATTTAATAGTTATTCAAACTTACCAATCTGGTTCTCAGATTTATAGCAATTAGCTCACATGCTTGTTGGTGAGGGCCAGGCCAAACACTGGATGAATGTGGCCTGATAGGAACATCTTAAAAAGTACTAGGGAAACAGCACATTTATGCAGGAATGTAGTAAACTCCCTGGAAATACTACTGAACAATTATACTATCTTTGCTTAAGCCTGTTGAGTGGAACAAAATTCAGACTTGCACACAAAAACCTGATGGGCCTTTTCATGATGATTACAATTGACTCCAAATTGTCTTTAAATACTCTATTTTCAGTCACAGCATATGAAACAGTTTTAAAAAACTGTACTTTCTGCTATTATTGCAAACAGCCAGGATATCAAAGAAAGCTTGTTACAAACATAAGCACTCCAGGCACCTGCATCCCGACAGCTGGATGTTCCAACATTCTCCACATTCCCAAAGACAGGGCTCTAAGGAACTATAGGGGCTGTTCCCAGGGCTCCCTCTTAATCAACTTGTGGAACCACCTCCACATTGGGAATGAATCTCTGTCCTTGTTGACACCAGAACTACACTCCTGGTGGCCAACTTCCTGATGGAAAGCAGCCCCTGCTCACAAGGACTAAAACAGCTCCAACAGTGGGGGCCTTAACTCTCTACAGGTTCCTGTCTCTCAGCCTATTCTTTTCGTCTAGGCCCTTGGAGATACTCACCTTCTCCTTAGTTACTTCTCCTCTATTTATGTGTGCACCTGGCATTTCGTAGAAAAGTATCATGCCAGAATTTGATTTCCTCAAAATGGGCAAATAATTCCAGAATTTGGCAGCAGTAATCAAAATAATCAACCAGGGGAAGTACACGAACCCATGGCCTCTTTTCTACACTCTTGTCTCTGATGGCACCATAGCAGAGCCTGGGAACACTGGTCATTTGTTCCTATTGGATCAGCTACCTTGTTCTTTATGGGCAACATGTTCAACTGATATTAGCAGAATCCACATTGTACCTCATAAAGATAAAACTGTATTTTTCAAAATCTCTTGGCAGAATGAGACAATACTGTATAAAGGAGCCCTTCAGGGGATCAAGCCCATCACAGTCCCCTCCACTATACCCTGTAACAACCGTTTTCCTGGTGAGAAAACCCAATGGCTGAGAATGGTTATCTGTCTAGGACCTCTCAGCAATAAATAACATTTTCATCCCTCCACACTCTTGTTCCTAACCCCTAGGCTACTGACATCCATTGCCACTAGAGGAAATTTTTCATTGTAATTCATCTATGCAGTGGATTTGGTATTTCAGGTGATAAGTGTAGCGAGTTTTTCTTTCACTTGGATAATACCCATGGACAGTCATATTGCTGGGAATCACAGAAAGTCTTTTGTACTTTTCACAAACCTCTAAGGCAGCTCTGGATGACAGAGTTTTCTGCATCTCTACTTTGTTATACTATGGAGATAATTTCATTCTCTGCCTCCCTTCAACGGAAGGCATAATCTACTTGTTAAAACTTTTGGCTTTAAAGGGACATAAAGTCTCAAAAAATTACATTTTGCTTAAACTCAAGATAAATACTTACGGCATCTGATCTTGGAACCAGAGCACACTGGGATACAGACAAAACCCCTCATGACTTAATGCTGACACGTCATGTTTTGAGTCCCTGTGACATTTTACATGTCACTCTTCTAAGGAAGAAAGTTTTTTTTTCTTTCTTTCTTTTTTTTTTTTAAGATTTTATTTATTTATTTGACAGAGAGAGAGAGAGAGAGAGCACAAGCAGGGGGAGTGGGAAAGGGAGAAGCAGGCTTCCCAGCGAGCAGGGAGCCCAATGCGGGGCTCAATCCCAGGACCTGGAATCATGACCTGAGCTGAAGGCAGACGCTTAACAACTGAGCCACCCAGGTGCCCCAGGAAGAAAGTTTTTTTCATAGTTTACTAGTGGGTATTTCAAAAAAGATGAAAGTGGTAAATATTATCTTGGGTGTGCTACTGCAAATCCTTTTTCTTTTTAAGATGTTATTTTTTGATTTATTTTACATGATCTCTACACAGAATGTGGGGCTCAAACCCACAACACCAAGACCAAGAGTTGCACAATCCACTGACCTAGTCATCCAAGCACCCTGCAAATTCTTTTGAAGGTACTGAGACAGCAATACTTTTCCATTTGATGTCCAACCCAATAGGATGAGTTATACACCCTACTTTTGCCAAGGGTAAAAACACAACATTTAGTCCAACTGGTATGCCTTTGGGGTACCTCAGGACTATGGAATATTATGGAAATAATGAAATGTTGTTAGATCCAATGTGGATAAAACTGAAGAGGCTCCTATGTTTAAAATTTACCATATGCCGTATTTTGGCAGGAGTTCTAGCTGATATTAATGGCACCATGCACACCAGACTTGACCTGCTGGGGCCAAAAAAAGCACCTCACTGATATTTCTACCACAATCACTGATCACAAAAAAAAAAAAAGCAATCCAGAGTCATGGTCAAAAGGCATGTTCTTTCAAAAGGCATGTTCTTCCAAGTCACATTTAGAACAAAATCGACCAAAGACACCCAAAATGCCTCTCAGAAAAGATAAACCAACATCAGAAATTTAACTTTTCATTCAATAAAAAGAGAAAATTTATGCGAAAACATGTGTTTCAATAATGAAGACTGAAATGTAGAGGTGATACAGAGTCAGGAAATTCCAGTATCTGCAAAAGACAACAGAAAAGAACTTGCAACAATAAAAGTCTCATGTCATGATCATAGATTAAGAAAATTTTGGAATGTGAGCATAAGAAAGTTTTTTTCTAAAGTTATATAAAGTTGTACACACACACCCCTCCCACAGACACATTCTTATCAACCTGAGTCCAAGAGACACTGTAATGGAAGAGACATGTTTTACATAACCACGTGATTACTCCACGTCTGAGATAACAAAGTCTATGTGGTACAGATGCAGAGGACTTACCACCATTAGTGTTCATATCAGCGACATGAACTAGGAGTAAGACACTTCGCATCTCTATCAAGGAAGAGGCACTTGCAAAAACAAAACCATGTTTATAACAATGAAACAATTTCTGCCCCACTAACATTTTCATGAACAAAATACATAAAGTTGATACCAGAAGATTTACCAAAATTGTGTCCATTCAGGTTCATCTCCAGGTATTGGCTCTCATTTTAAAAATGATTTTAGGGAGAATAAATGCTTTCCCACAGGGTCTGTGCTCCCAGATTGATGAGGTACCTGACGACTTTTCCATGGTTCTTAAGTTCATAGGGTTTCACATCATTGTGCTTTCACACATGTCCTCGAAGAGAAGAGGGACAACGGAAGGCTTTCTCACAGTGCAGATATTCTTACGGTTCTGCCCTGTGGCATCACATGTACTTACATGTCTATGGGACACTGGAAAATCTTACCAGAGTCCTTAGATTCAGAGGGATACTGTCCACTGCGCATCCTCACGTGTTCTTGAAGGGAGTGGTGACGAGTGAATGTCTCTCCCCAGTGTGTTTCTTCATATGCACTCGAAGGGATGAGGGAAACTTGTATGCTTTCCCACACTCCATGCATTCATAGGCTTTAATCGTGCTGTGCGTTTTCAAATGATCTTGAAAACACTGAGGCCGACTGAAAGCTTTCCCACACTCTATACACTTAAAAGGTCTCTCTCCAGTGTGTGTCCGCATGTGTGCTTCCAGGTGTGATGGACTCCTGAAGGCTTTGCCACAGTTGTGACATTCATAGGGTTGCTTTCTAGTGTGTGTCCTCATATGTACTCGTAAGGATGCAGTACAGGTGAAGGCTTTCCCACACTGCTGACATTTACAGGGTCTTTCCCCATTGTGTGTCCTCACATGAGCTCGTAGATTTCCAGGAGAGCTGAAGGCTTTCCCACACTGCTGACATTTACACGGTCGTTCTCCACTGTGTGTCCTCACATGAGCTCGCAGGTTTCCAGGAGTCGAGAAGACTTTTCCACACTGCTGACACTCACAGGGGCTTTCCCCAGTGTGTGTCCTCATATGTGCTCGAAGGTTTGCAGGAGACTTAAAGGCTTTCCCACACTGCTGACATTTAAAGGGTCTTTCCCCAGTGTGTGTCCTCATATGTACTTGTAGGTCTCTGTGATACCTGAAGGCTCTGCCACACTCCTTACAATCATAGGGTTTCAGGACATTGTGCGTGGCCATGTGACGTTCAAAAGGTCGATGCTTTCTGAAAGTTTCACCACACTCCTTACATTCCAAGTGTCCACCCTCTGTGTGCCTTCTCACAGTATGTACTACAAGGGTGTGGTGACGAATGAAGGCTTTTCCACAGTGCTGACATTTATAGGGTCTCTCTCCAGTGTGTTTCCTCATGTGTTCTCGCAGGCATGAGTTATACCTGAAGGTCTTCCCACACTGTTGACATTCATATGGTCTCTCCCCAGTGTGTGTTGTCACATGTTCTCGCAGATTTCCAAGATATCTGAAGGTCTTCCCACATTGCTGACATTCATAGGGTCTTTCCCCAGTGTGTGTCCTCATATGTATTCGCAGGTCTGTGTGATCCCGGAAGGCTCTGCCACACTGGTTACATTCATAGGGTTTCACGGTACTGTGTGTGGTCATGTGACGTTTAAAATGTTCACACTTCCGGAAAGTTTTCCCACACTCCTTACATTTGTAGGGTCTGTCCCCAGTATGTGTCTTCATATGTACTCCAAGGGCTGTGTGATACCTGAAGGCTCTGCCACACTCCTTACATTCATAGGGTTTCACCACATTGTGTGTGGTCATGTGACGTTCAAAAGGTAGATGCTTCCTGAAACTTTGCCCACACTCCTTACATTCCAAGGGTCTGTCCTCTTTGTGTCTTTTCATGTGTTCTTCAAGGGAGTAGTGATCAGGGAAGGCTTTCCCACACTGCTGACATTTATAGGGTTTTTCCCGAGTGTGTGTCCCCACATGTCTTTGCAGGGTTGAAGCAGACCTAAAGGCTTTCCCACACTCCACACATTTATATGGTCTCTCCCCAGTGTGAGTTCTCACATGACGTGTAAGATCAGAATTATACATAAAAGCTTTCCCACATACGTCACACACACGGACATTCTGTCCACAGTGACCTTGCACATGATCCTGAAAGGATGAGGTGCGAGTGAAAACTTTTCCACATTTCTTGCACTCTAAAGATTTTTTACTGCTGAGATTCTTCAAGTATCTCTTAAATGCTGTGCCAGGGTCCTGATGTTCACGATGTTCATAGGGTTTCTCTACAAGGTCTGTGTCCAAGTGAGTGATGTGGCTCAAGACACGCCTGCAGGCTGGCCCACATTCCTCACAGGGACTAGGTGTGTGTCCAGGATGAGATCTTCCTGGGTTCTCAGGGAAAGAACCATCTGTGAAGGTTTCTCTACACTTAACGCATTCACAGGATTTATCTCTAGTAGTACATTCCTCATGCACAGTAAAACTAGTAATTTGGTTTACGGTATCTCCACCTTGATTACCTTCATTGCTTTCACAGACACGCTCCACCAAATGACTTCTGTTCAAAATAGGAAGGCACACTGTTAGGGAATAATGATTATAACCAAACTCTTTTATTAATGATCTACTGATGCTTATTAATGATTATTTTGCTACATAATGGCCATTTTCAATGAATGGGTACATTTTTGGCACTGTCTCCATGGTAACAAAGTGAAACAAGCTTAATGAATTGGCTGAGGACTCAAATATAGTCATAACACTCTAGGTTTCTCAGATACAGCTTTTCTCACCATTGTTTCCAACTTCCACCATTAGTTTTCAGATGATAAATATCTAGAATGCACTCATTAAAACTCCATCATGTGAAAATTATGATTATACAATTATTGAGGTGTGTTTTCAGCTATTCTCTAATTTCAAGTTAGTCTCACAATCTGCCCTGATCCCCTTCTCCTGTAGGAGGGTCACTCACCTCAAATGCCCTTCCTGGGTTTGGGTCTGATCTCCACTGCTATGAAATTTCCAGTTTTCTCCAAAAACAGAACACAAATCATTTCTTGCAAATATGACTATTTTCTCTTCACTGGGTAACTCATTCTGCAAAACATTCCACTGCGTCCTCGATGCACTCCTTTTATCCTGACTGGGACAAACTGCAAAAATTGGTAGCATAATTTAATTTCTTGGGAATGATCTGATGTTTGAAGGTAAGAAAATCGACCATATGTTGATTTCCATTCATATACTCATCACAAAATGTAAATGAAGCTCATCAGGAAGAATGGACAAGTGATCAAAGAAAACTTCTGAGGACCCTAGTGATTTGGGACTTTGGCAATAAGAGGAAAGTGTATGTAGCGCAGCCCGTTTACTCAGAAATACTTCAAAATTGATGGAGACTAATGTGGAGATAAGTGTTATCAGAAAAGGAAAGTAGAAAGCACCTGGGCAAGATACACACATCCGCACCGTACCTCTCTAAGAGGAATACAGAAAGGCTTGCAATGTGGGTGAGGATGAATGAACGGTCTGACTTGGAAGCCAGGTAAGTGACAAAATCACCCTTCTCGAACAAAACTGAGTCACGTTTCTAATGGACATGTCCAAATGCTGTTCCGTTCTCCAGAACCTGGCCCAACTGAGGGTTGCTAGGATGTTCTGAAGGCACAGAGGCCCTTGGTGAAGCCTGCCTGGACTGCCCCAACTGCCACTGGGAGGTTGGATGGTGTGTGTGGCTGCTGCCCAGCCCCTGGAGAACAGCCCGGCATGAGGGAGGTGAAGAGCAACAAGCAATCTGGATGATGCGCTCTTACTTTATTCTTCGAGTTCAATGATGATGGGTAAGTGGGGACTTTTTTTTTTTCTTCTTTCTTTTTTCATTTTTTAGTGGAAGCATATTGACCATTAATATTAGCATCAGATGTACAATAAAGTGATTCAACGATTATATACATTACAAAATGCCACCAAAGTATAAATATCATGTTACTATAGAAAACTAATACAATATTATTGATCATATTCCATCTGCTTTGCTTTTCATTCCCATATTTACTAAGTGTGACTTTGTACCACTCAATCCCCTTTATTTTACTTCTCCCTCCATACCCTTCCAATCTCACAAGCACCAATTTGTTCTCTATAGTTCTAGTTTTAAGTCTGTTTCTATTTTCTGTTGTTTGTTCATTCATTTTGCTATTTAGATTCCACATATAAGTAAAGTATGGTGTTTATCTTACTGTCTGACTTATTTACTTGGAAGAATACCCTCTAGGTCCATCCATGTTTTCACAAATGGGAAGACTTCATCCTTTTTGCACAGCTGAGTAGCAGTCCCTTATATGCATTTTCCACATCACTAACCATTCATCTTGTTGATGGACACGTGAGTTCCTTCCACATGTTGAGTATTGTAACTAACACTACAATGAACATTAGTGTTTTTTCTATGGTTAAATACCCAGAAGTGGAATTATAGATGATATGGTACTTCTGTGCTGTTTTATGGAACCTCCATACTGTTTTCCATGGGGGCTGCACCAATTTACCTTCCCACCAGCAAAGATGAGTTTCCTTTTCTCTGCCTCCTCACCAATACTTGTTATTTCTTGTCTTTTTGATACCAGCAAATCTGGCTGCTGTGAGGTGATATCTCATTTGAGGTTTTGATTTGCACTTCCTTGATGATTAGTGATATTGAGCAGCTTCTTCATGTGCCTAGCGGCCATCTGCATATCTTCTTTGGGAAAATGTCTACTATGTTCCTCTGCCCCATTTTAAAATTTTTCCTTTCATTTCCCTTGTCTGAAGGTATAATTCCATAAAAGTATTGCTAAGGCTGATGTCCATGAATTCTGTTTCAAAACAATTCTGTTTTGTCTTAAGAGGTGTACGGTTGCAGGTCTTACACTTAGGTATTCAATCCATATAGAGTTTACTGTTGTGTAAGGTATAAGAAGGTGGTCCAGTTTCATCCTTTTGCAGATAGCTGTCTCATTTTCCTAACACCAGCTATTGAAGAGAGTCTTTCCCCATTGTATATTCTCAGCTCCTTTTTGGTGGATAATTTCAGACTCTATTCTGTCCCCTTGACCCATGTGTCTGTTTTTGTGCCAGTAACATACTGTTTCGATTAGTAGAGTTTTGTGGTATACTTTGAAATCTGGGATTGTTATATCTTCAGCTTTGGTATACTTTTTCCACATTGCTTTGGTATATTTGGAATATTTTGTTTCCATTCAAATTTTTAAATTTTTCACTCAAATTCTTTTAAAAGTACTATTAGTATGTTGATAGGGATATCACTGAACACGTAGAGTGCTTTTCATGGTATGGGCATGTTTAAAAATACTAATCCTTGCAATCCATGACAAGGGTTTATCTCTCCATTTAGTGTGTCATCTTCAATTTTCTTCATTAAATGTCTTATATTCTCCCTCTCCCACTCCCCCTGCTTGTGTTCCCTCTCTTGCTGTGTCTCTCTCTGTCAAGTAAATAAATAAAATCTTTAAAAGGGGGGGCACCTGGGTCGCTCAGTTGTTAAGCATTTGCCTTCAGCTCAGGTCTATGATCCCAGGGTCCTGGGATTGAGCCTCCCATCAGGCTCCCTGCTCTGTGGGAAGCCTGCTTCTCCCTCTCCCACTCCCCTGCTTGTGTTCCTCCTCTTGCGGTCTCTCTCTGTCAAATAAATAAATAAAATCTTAAAAAATAAATATAGATTTCAGAGTCTTTCACCTTCAGGTCTTTCACCTTTCTTACATTTTTTTTATTTTTATTTTTTAAAGATTTTATTTATTTATTTCACGGAGAGAGATAGCGAGAGCAGGAACACAAGCAGGGGGAGTGGGAGAGGGAGAAGCAGGCTCCCCGCGGAACAGGGAGCCCGATGCGGGGCTCGATCCCAGGACCCTGGGATCATGACCTGAGCCGAAGGCAGACGCTTAACGACTGAGCCACCCAGGCGCCCCACCTTTCTTACATTTATTTACCATATCTTACAGTTTTTGAAGGAATTAAACATAGGATTATTTTCTTAATTTCTCTCTGCTATTTTGTTAATGAGTTATACAAATGCAACAGATTTTGGTATATTAATTTTGTATCCTGCAACGTTTCTAAATTCATTTGTTAGTTTAATAGTATTTGGTGAAGTCTTAAGGATTTTCTATATATACTTTCATATTATCTGAAGATACTGACAATTTTCTTAAACAGTTGCTTACTGCCCATTTCTTTATGTTGTCTGACTAGTAGGCCTATGACTTCCACCACTATGTTGAATAAAACTGGTGAGAGTGGACATCCTCGCTTTGTTCTTGATCTTAGAGAAAAAGCTTTTGGCTCTTCACCATTGAGTATATTAGTGTGGGTTTGTCATCTATGGCCTATGGTCTGTTGAGGTATATTCCTTGTATATACACCTGTTTGAGAGTGTTTATCAGGAATGGAGGTTGAATTCTGTCAAATGATTTTTACATCTATGGAGATGATCACATGGTTTTTATAATTTATTTCATTGATGTGGTATATCATACTGCTTGATATGCATATATTAAAAATTCTTTCCACCCCTGGAATAAATCCCACTTTATTATGGAGAATGCTCCTTTTAATGTATTTTGAATTCAGCCTGCTAATATTTTCTTTAGTACTTTTCCATCTATGTTCCTTAGGGATATTTGTCTGTGAATTTTTTTTTTTTTTTTTTTTTGTAGTGTCTTTGGTTTTGGTATCAAGGTAATGCTGACATCACAGAATGAATTTGGAAGCATTCCTTCCTGTTCTATTTTTTGGAGTAGTTTGAGAATAATAGGTATTAACTCTTCTTTATCTGCTTGGTAGAATGTACCTGTGAGGTCACGTGGTTGGTCCTGGATTTCTCCTCAGTGTGTTTTGATTAGTAATTCGCTTTTGTTTCTAGTAATAGTCTGTTTACATTTTCTATTTCTTCCTGATCTCATCTTGGCAGATTAGTTTCTAAAAATTATCTATTTCTCTGGGTGGTGCAATTTGTTGCTATACAATTTCCCATGTAATCTCATAACCCATTGTATTTCTGTGGTGTCAATTTTAACTTTTCTCTCATTTCTAATTTTGAGAAATTAGAATTTCTTGATTTCTTGATTAGTTTGGCTAGATTTTATCAATTTGTTTCTTATTTTCTTGATTAGTTTGGCTAGATTTTATCAATTTTATCTTTTCAAAAGACCAGCTCTTAGTTTCATTGATCTTTTCTATTTTTTAACCTCCACTTCATTTATTTCTGTTCTGCTCTCCATGATTTCCTTCCTTATAAATTTGGGCTTTGCTTATTCTTCTTTTTCTAGCTACTCTAGGTGTAAGGTTCGATTGTTTGAGATTTTTCTTGTTTCCTGAGGCAGGCCCATATCACTATACACTTCCATCTTACCACTGCTTGTGCCGCACAGGCCAAAAATGTTCCATCATGCATTTATTTTTATTTGGCTCCAGGTATTTTACTGATTCCTCTTTGACTTCTTTGTTGACCCATTGGTGTTTAGTAGCATGCTGTTTAGCTTCAACACGTTTGAGCTTCTTCCTTTTCTTGTTATTGACTTGTAATTTCATACTGTTGTGCATAGAAAACATGCCTCATAAGATTACAGTCTTCAGGGGCACCTGGTGGTTCAGTTGTTAAGCGTCTGCCTTTGGCTCAGGTCATGGTCCCAGGGTCCTGGGATCGAGCCCCACATCGGGGTCCCTGTTCAGCGGGAAGCCTACTTCTCCCTCTCCCACTCACCCTGCTTGTGTTCCCTCTCTCGCTGTGTCTCTCTGTCAAATAAATAAATAAAATCTTAAAAAAAAAAAAAAAGATTACAGTCTTCGTAAATTTACTGAGACTTGTTTTGTGGTCTAACATATGAACTATCCTGGAGAATGTTCCTCATGCACTTGAAAAAAATGTGTATTCTGCCGTTTGGGATGGAATGTTCATTATGTCCACCTGGTGTAATGTGTCACTGAAATCCACTCTTATTTTCAGTCTGGACGTTCAATGTAAGCACATTAGTAGAGTGTTAAATCCTCCTACAATTACTTACTACTGTCATTTTCTGCCTTTATTTCTCTTAATATTTGCTTTATATATTTAGGTGTTCCCTGCTGTATGTGTAGATATAATCAACTGTTATGCTACTTTTGTTTCATTGATCTGTTTATCTTCATGTCATGGCAGTCTCTGTCTCTTGTTATAGTCTTTGCTGTGACATCTACTATATCTCACGTAAGTATTCGATCTCTACTTTTTACCCCGCTTTTATTTGCATGGAAAATCTATTTTAACCCACTTGACTTTCAGTCTGTACTGTGTCTCCCTTTTAGGCAGACTATAGATGGGTTCTTTTTTTTTTTTATCATTCTATCAGTATATGCTTTTTGACTGGAGCATTTAGTCTACCTACATTGGAAGTAATTATTGAGGAGCATGTACTTCTAGCTAGTCTCTTAAATGCTTTTTTCTTTTTTTTTAAGATTTACTGATTTGAGAGAGAGTGAGAGTGAGGGAGAGAGAGCAGGAGCTGGGTAAGGGGCAGAGGGAGAGGGAGAAGCAGACTCCCCTCTGAGCAGAGAGCCTGACGTGGGGCTGGATCCCAGGACCCTGAGATCATGACCTGGGCCAAAGGCAGACGCTTATCTGACTAAGCCACCCAGGCACCCCCACAGTGGTTTTTTTGTTTTGTTTTGTTTGTTTTTTAAGGAAGATGTAAGCCCAATGTGGGGCCCAAACTCATGACCCTGAGACCAAGAGGCCAATGCTCCGACTAAGCCAGCTAGGCACCCCATATTTCACATCTGTTCCTCTGTATCCATGGATTAACCTCAAGATACAAATGATTTTACTACTTTTGGGTTTTAGCCTTCATAATAGCTTTCTAAGTGACTTATTTACTAACTTTATGTTTCCAACTACCAGCAATTTATATATCCTTTCATAATTTTCATGCTTTTAGTTATTACCTTTTCTTTTCCACTTAAAAGAGGTACTTCATGATTAATAAGGCTGATTTAATGGTGGGATGCCTGGGTGGCTCAGTGATTCGAGCATCCAACTCTTGATTTTGGTTCAGGTCATGATCTCAGGGTCTTGAGATCGAGCCCCACATTGGGCTCCATGCTTGGTGCAGAGTCTGCTTAGATTCTCTCTCTCTCCCTTTCCCTCTGCCCCCACATTGTGCATGTGCACTCTCTCTCCTCATATAAATAAATAAAAGATTTTTTTAAAAAGATGGTTTCATGGTGACGAAGTTCTTTAATTATTGTTTGTCTGGAAACCTTTTTATCTCTTTCAATTCTGAGTGATGAATTTCCTGAGTAGAATATACTTGGTTGTAGGTTTTTTTCCTTTTGGCACTTTGAATGTATCATGCCACTCCCCACTGGCCTGCCATTTTTCTCCTGAAAAATCAGCTGATAGCCTTATGGAAATTTCCCTTGTAGTTTAGAGTTTGGTTTCTCTAGCTGCTTTAAGATAACCTCTTTATATTTCATTTTTTCCCCATTTTATTATAAATGTTGGTGTGGACTTCCTTTTGTTCTTCCAGTTTAGCCCTGCTGTACTTTGCAGACCTGGATATCTGTTTCATGCCCAGATTTGAGAACTCCTCACCCATAGTATCTTCAAAGAGGTTTCTGCTCTTTTCTCTCCCTTCTTCTCCTTAGACCCCTATAATGGAAATGTTATTATCATTGCTGTGGCCAAAGAGGTCTGTGAACTTATCCTCAGTTATTTATTTCTCACCATTATTGTAGTTTTGCTATTCAGCTTGGTTGCTTCCCACACTACCTCATCTTCTAGATTGCGGATACCTGTTTAACATCCTCTAATCTCCTATGGATTCCCTCTAGTATATTTTTCATGTCAGTTATGGTATTCCATAGCTGCTACTGGTTCTTGTTTATATTTTCTATCTCCTTGTTGAAGTGCTCACTGTGTTCATGAACTCTTCTCTCAAGTCTGGGGAGTATCTACATGACCATTACTTTGAACTCTTCATCTGGTAGATTACTTATCTCTTTATGATTTAGCTCATTTTCAGTGTTTTTGTCCTGTTATTTTCTTTGCAACAAATTCCTTTGTCTTCTCACTGTGTTGGCAATGTATTAAGTAAGGCAGCTACATCTCCTAGTCTTCAAAGTAGTGGCCTTACATAGAAGACATCCTATGGTACCCTAAACCACAATCACGCCCCGGACACCAGGACCAGGTGCTCCGGGTGTGGGCTGTGTGTGCTCTCCTGTTGTGGCTGAGACCCAGCTGCTATATGCACATTGGTTTGTGGGGCTTGCTCTCCTACATGGCTGGCTGAGAAGTACTGCTGTAGCCATGCTGGGCACACTGATGAATGCGGGTAATCCTCAATATGGCTATCTGCAATGATGGGTGGTGACTGCTGTCAGTGCAGTAGTGGGCAGGTTGCCCCCAGCTCGGCTAGTTGAGAGGCCAGGCGACAGATATGCCCAGCTGCAGCTAGTGCAGGCTCACTAGTCGGTGTGGTTAGTTCCTTCACACCCTGTGACAGGAGTCATGCTGGAGAAGTGGCATCACAACTGGGGTTGCATAACAGGGGTGGTATGACAGGAGTCCCAATGGGGAGACATTAGTCCCAAGTGAGGGGTGGCTGGACGGGAGCTACTTTGGACGGGTACCTCGCAGGGCAGGTGGGTTAGATGCGTTGGGTCGGTGGGAAATGCTGAGTGGGGAGAACCAGTATAAGCAATGCAGATGAAGAGTGTCAGAACTGGCTCCCGGATGTATCTGGCTATCTCGGGTGAAGGAGGGAAGATAAACGACACTTGCCAGCATGTCAGTTCCTAGAGAGAACTCTCTGGGCCTCCAGTGTGTGCCCTAAAATTAGGCAATAAATCTCCTTCACACATAACCCAGGTACATTTCAAAATTCAGCTTTGTGCTCTATTTTGTGCCACCTGATACAGTGTGCTAACTCTTTAAAGAGTGAGGACTCTGTTTTCTATAGCCCTCCATCTTTCCTGGAGTTAAGCCCCACTAATGTTTTAGCTCCCAAACTTAAGGCCCACCGATTTGCAAAGGCAGGTGTTCAGGGCCCTGGTCTTTGCACTGTGGTCCCCAGGGGTAGGGGTGCCTGGTGTGGGGACTGATTTCCCTACTTCTCTGTACCTGTGATGTCCCACACACCTTTGCATAGCCACAGTGGGGTCTGGCTTCCATACACATCTCTGCCCTGCCTACCCGTTTCCATGAGGACATCTCTTTCTGACTATAGCTGCGAAAGATCTGTTCTGGCAGTCTTCAGATCATTTTCAGAGTGAGTTGGAATACATGTAGTTCTTGCCTCAGAGTGTCCAGGGGAGCAGGGGAGCTCTGTCTGTCATCTTCCCTCCTCATTAAATGAGGGTTTAAATGGAGCAACATTACCGAGCCCAATATGTAGGAACCACTGTGTAACTTTCATAGATGTGAAAACCACACAGCAGTGCCCCCTGCCCCAAAGTGACACTGGAGGCCACATTCACATTTATAAAATTAGGGAGTCTCAGACTTGGGTCCAGACTAGTAAAGAGTCAATTTAACACATAAAACTTCGTTTTCATGGAAAAGGTATGTGACCCTAGGTAGTTTCCATGAAGGCTTGGACTATGTCTGTCTCTTCTTCAACATATTCCCATTCCTCGGCCCCAGTAAGATCAAACACTTATAAGAAACATTCAGTCCGTAAAACTCTAGTGGGAGGGGTGGCATGCTTACCCAGTGAGGCCAGGTTCCTGTAGGTCTCCAGCATCACATCTCTGTAGAGCCTCCTCTGACCACGATCCAGCAAAGCCCACTCTTCTGGGGTGAAGTTCACAGCCACATCCGCAAAGACCACTGAGTCCTGAAACATCCCACATATTCTATTGCAGCAAGGCTCCCTCCTCACCCATGTGTGTGGGAGGATGGGGGGATGACATGCAGGGAACTACACTCCATTCCTAGGACCTGAGTCACACCCGTGTGGGAAGTGACAACACGCAAGCACATCCACTGCCGCACACTCAGTGATGGGAAGGGCTGGGAACCCAAAGCAGAGGGTGATGACAACAGCTGATACAGACTTACATACACCCAAATATAGGCTATTTTTACTGACAGAGAGCAGATCTATGCAGACCAGCATGGTAAAGAATGAAAAATGAAATACTTTTTCAGACAACACAAAAATCAGACAACACATCTTTGACTTGATCAAAGATGATCATTGCCTTGTCAGCCCCAAGAACTTGAATCAGAATGTTCAGGATGTTGTGGACATATAGATTCCAGTGCTGCTCTCACCCTGGAAGGCAACAAGGTCAAGGAGCCTGGTGCAGTTCCTTCTATTCCAGTAGAGGCAGACCCGACCCTCTCCCTGGATCAGGTGGACTGTGAGCATGGACACAGGGCCCAGGGGCTTGACACAGCTGGTGCGTAAGAGGAGTTCCAGTTCTGGAAGAATCATGGAAGTCAGCAGGGCCTCAAATATATACCCCAGTGCCCAGAATTCAAGGAGAAGGGCACCAGGAAGGAGAGCCCCTGAGGGATTGATGGTAACAGAGCCCAGGGTGAGTTTAAGGCGGGGACAGTGAATATGGTGTAGAGGTCACTTTCGGGCAAAAAGCTTGAACAATGGAAAGATAACCAGCAAGGCAAAGGCCCACAGTGACCACACATCTTAATATAAACAGGCTCATTAAGTGACCTACCTGGAAATGGCCATAGGCCCCAAGTAACCAATGGGCTACTTACAACCTGGCAGTTACCAAAACAGGAAAATTCCACATGTTCCCATACTTCCTCACTTCACCGTGTAACTATAGCTTGCTCCTCAGCACCACCTAGGGGCAGCTTATCCTTTACTGTCCTGCTGGCTGTTCCCTTATGGTGTATTCAATAAACTTCTACGTCTATTGTTTTACCTTGGGTGAATTCTTTCCCCACATTTGGTGACCACATTTAGGGACCTTTTGCTGTGCCGGGCCTCTCGTCAAATTCTCCAGGAATTTTGTGGGAGTTTATCTTGGTGGACCAACTCTAGTACTCCTTGGGGAACTGACGGCCTCCAGGTGAGGTCATTCCTCGGTGATGATCCAAAGCCCCAGGGGGAGCCTGATTAACCACCCTTGCCCAAAAAGGTGAGGGATTTTCCCTCTTGCCCTTCAGCGGGATCCTCCCCTACCTCTCCTTTCTCTTTTTAGCCCCTCAGCTGGTCTAACCCTAGTACTCCTCAGACAACCGAAGGTCTTGGTGAACAGATCGGACTGTGCATGCCTGTGTGGGCGAAGGACCCCTTTCCTCTCCTCTCCCGCATCGCCTGAGACCTCCATTCCCAACATGTGATGCAGTTGGCAATGGCAGCTCCTGCAAGGTGAATCTGCACATGTTATGTATTCTGTGGGACCCTTTCCTGACGCTTGCTGACTCTCAGCTGCCTTGCTTCTTTGAGACCAACCCCTTAATTTCTTTGTTCCCTTATATTCAGCTGCCATCTTGATCTACAGACAAACACGTTCCTATGTGTCTGCATGGTGAGTCCTCTCCTCTTTATTTGACCCGGTTTGGCCACCCGGTGTCTGGCTCTCCCTGTTGCTGGGGACAACCCAACAGGGATTAATATTGCTATCTATTGCAACCCTTCCTTGGTGGAACACCCCCTGGGAATCAGCAGCAGGTCTTTCCCATTATAGGAAATAAAATGGCTGGTTCAGCAAGCAAAACTGCAGTCATAAACGTTATGAACAAAATAAAAACCAAAAACCCATGATCAGTTCCACAGACACAGAAAAGGCATCTGACTAAACCCACGACCCTGTCATAACAAAAGTACTCAACCAACTAGGAACAAAGCGGAGCCTCCTCACCCTAATAAGGGGCAGCTAGGAAAAGCCCACACCTAACAATTGAGCAGACACTTCTCAAAAGAAGATACGCAAGTGACCAATAGGTTCAGGAAAAGATGCTAGACTTCGTCATCAGGGAAATGGACATCAAACTACAAGCAGATACCCCTTCAAACTCACTAGAATGGCTATAAAGCCGGGTGCCTGGGTGGCTCAGTCATTAAGCATCTGCTTTCAGCTCAGGTCATGATCCCAGGGTCCTGGGATCGAGTCCCACATCGGGCTCCTTGCTCAACAGGGAGTGCGGTTCTCCCTCTCCCTCTGCCCCTGCTTGTGTCCCCTCTCTCACTGTGTCTCTCTCTGTCGAATAAATAAAATTTTTAAAATAAATAAATAAAATCTTTAAATAAATAAATAAAGGAATGGCTATAAAGCCATCCAAGTAAGAGCTGGTGAGGACGTGAGGAAGGGGGATCTCATGCATTTATGCTGCTGGGAATGGAAAATGGTGCAGCCATTTGGAGGTGTCTGGTGCGTCCTCAAAATGATGAATGTACCATTACCGTGCAATACAGCAATTCCACACCTAGTATTGATCAACCCAAGACAAGTGAAGATGAGCACCAACACTAACTTCCATATACTCTCAGCAGCTTGATTCATAATAGCCAGCAAGTGAAAACCACCCAGAACCCCGTCAGCTCTTTTAAAATAAAGGAGACATGACTAAAATGGAGTCAGGAGTCCACAGAGAAAGCACCCAAACCCTTCCCTCGGGGCCAATTGCAGACTTAACAGGGAGAGATGCACATTACAAATCTGCACTACCTTACTTTCCACGCAGGAGGAAGGAAAATAATTTCCCTGTGTGGCAACAGTCCAGCCAATGACACAGTCATAGGCCAACCAATGAGAGACAGTCACAGCTCAGCCAATGAGACGCAGCCACAGTCCAGCCAATGGGAAGCAGCAACACATGGAACCTCCAGTTTGCTCCAATGGATGTTTTCTATAGCAGGACCCTCCCAATGCCCCCTCCTCTAAAAGGAGCATGCTCCCTTTCTTCCCCAGACTTGCCTGTGGTTTTGCTGGGGCTTCCTTGTATTATATTACAATTTTCTGATATTCCCAGATAAACCCGTTTTTTCTTTTTTAAACATTTTTATTTATTTATTTGAGAGTGAGCACACGGGGGAAGGAGCGGAGGGAGACAGAGAGGGAATCTCAAGCAGACTGTGTACTGAGCACAGAACAAGGCTCAATCTCAAGACCGCAAGATCATGGCCTGAGCCAAAATCAAGAGTCTGATACCTCACCAACTGGACCATCCACCCACCCCCAGATAAAACAATTTTTCCTGTAAAAAGAACTGACGGCTTTATTTTTAACATCAATGTTACTTGGTGATCACAAATGGACCCAGAGAAGACCCCACCTCTCCAAGCTGCTGAGCAAACAGGTGCGGGCCCCACAGAGCCCACTGCGCTCACTGCTTTCTCCCCGACCCTGAGCTGGAGGGTAAGTTTTGTCCTGGGATCAGAGCCCCGCTCCCTGTCTGCGCTCTGCAGGGTCTATGGGGACCTGGGTTACGGGCTTCTCCTCTCTGACACTACTCATTTGGCTTTTGTTCCCCTCCTTTTCAGAACTGGACTGTTCCTCTCGGATCTGGAAATGCGCTGGCCTTTGGTCTGATTTCTTCTGTAAGGACCAGAGTTTAGAAATTTTTATTTTGGTTTAGAAAAAACCACCAAGAATGGATTCCAGTCATCAAAGCGCCGTGAGGGGCACCCAACGGGGACCCTGGCCAGTTTTAGGTTTCAAAACCATGGTCGTGGTGCCCCTGGGTGGCTCAGTTTAAGCAGCCAAATCTTGATTTTGGCTCAGGTCATGAGATCAAGCCCCAGGTAAGGCTCCGTGCTGGGCATGGAGTCTGCCTAAGACTCTTCCTCTCCCTCTGCCCCTCCCCTCCCCCACCATGGCCTGCTAGCAAGCTTGCTCTTAAAAACAAAGAACATGGTCTCTCCTAAAATGCACTGCTAATAATTTAACCAAATGAACTAAATGTAATTTAAAACTACGAAGGCCTTTATGGGGAACTTCCAATCTCGATCTCCACAAAGTTGTTTTATTGATAACTGAATTAGGAAGTCATGACTCCCAAACATTGAATATGATACATATTTTAATCGGTAGCTCAAGACTTGCAAATATTTTCAGGAAGCTAAGTGTGCCTCCTTACAAAAGACCATTTGAAATTAACTGAGGCAAACAACTGAAAGAAGACAGACGGCTTCTGAAGCATCTTTTTCTCCTGCCCAGCTTGATGGTCAGGTCCGCAGACACGCGGGAGCCGCCCTGCACGGGGCCCTGCCTCCAACCACCTCCCTCCACACTCTCTGCTGACCTTCCCTTTTCTTCTGACCCTGCCCTTGCTCCCTCCTTACCTCAGCCTATTAAAACCCAGCCTCCTTAAAGATAAGGCTTCTCAAGATCTAAACCCCCAAATGTCTCATGTTCCCTGGACTGAGGCAGAAGTGTCCTGAGCGAATGGGAACCCCCATAATCTTGCTGAAGAACGTAACACAGCGTTTCAACCTACCAACCTGGTTTCCCAGATTTATACAAATTATTCCACAGGCGTGTTGCTGAGGGCCAGGCCACACGTGGGGTGACACGGACCCAGGAGAGAGCAACAGACGCCTCACTTCTGAAAAGACACTACAACACTCGCTGGAAATCCCCGCAGAGCAATTACAGAAGCTTTTCCTAACACTGCGGATTAACATCCAGTCCTCCACACGGAAGCCTGGTGAACCTGCGCGTGGCGGTTACAAGGGACTCCAGCTTGTCTCTGATGCAACTTGGGGTCTTTCTTCACATGCGGAGTCTACCCAGGCAGCAGCTGATGGGCTGAGCCGGGATCGTTCTTTTTGCTTAAAAGCACCAGGATGGAACGGGAAACCACGTCCACCGCGCATGTAGTTATTCTGGGAAACTAGCTCACTCACACCCCACAAGAAAGAAAGAC